AAATTGCTTCTGTGTGAAGATTTTGCAAAAGACTAGATGTAATGTAATTGATTCGGATGTATTATCTCGCATCAAATAGCGATTCTTTCTCCGGTATAGCTCAATTTGCGCAGCTACGTGATCACGAGGGACTAAACGTGATTAAACTGGAAGTTAAAATGTAACGTGGCACGTTAAGTTAATAATCGTAACACGTGTCGCGATCAAACGCACGCAGCGGTCGCGAATCGTGATTTAATTTTGTCGCGCGATCTATCTCGCTCGAATCACGATGCGCCGAACGATCACAGGCTGATTTGAAATTTGTAGTCAGCTTGTAATTTAACTTCGTTCGAAGTTCGGCGTGCGAGTCTCTCCGATTTTCCGTGCACGCCGAGCGCGCAAAGAAATTTTAATTGCATCCATACTGATTAAACAATTTCGCTCATAGTCCAGGATAAATAATAAAATAATGTAAAATCCTCGATCGCAAAGATTATGATTAACATTTAATCGGGAGTATATGCAATCGATAAGGTTAAATGTCAAGGCGAGATCGCCAACAAAATTATAAACTTTGCATACACGCGCGAGAATTACGAGAAATGTACGCGGGAATTACGGGCGCGAGCGATAAAAAATACATGCGCGCGATTATTAAATAATTATTTAAACCTATCCGTGATATTTTGCCGGTACACGTCCGAGTGTTTGAAGTAAATGTCAAATGGGGCTCGACATGGTAGGCGCGTACATGCAAAGAGTTCGTTACACTCTAATTCCAGCGATTCCCTCGCTGAGTGACACGCATCGCGTGCACATTAATGATTAGCTTCGCGATTACACAACGCACGTAGTCACCTATAAAACTCGAGCATGCTGAATAATATTCTTTTTTACATGAAATGGTTGAAAAAGGGAAATCAAAACTGAATTTTCCATATTTTCGCGAAAGCAAGGATTTTCGTTTCTATTTTATGATATTTTGATATCCATATAATTGAATGCAAATTATTAGCTTATTATTATTTCATATAATTGTGTCAATAGATATTATTGGAAAATTTTGATAATAATATAGGTACATCGAGTACAGAGTTAAACCGAGGATCAAGATAATTTTGTGATAAATTAATGGCGTCATTTATATGATGAATCTGTCATCAGATAACTTGCAAATTACGTTAATGCGAGCATTTCGATTTTTCCATAATATAAATTGACGTGAATAATTCAATCATTATTAATATTCTATAGTAGTCTGAATAGAATTTTATTCTTCAATCGCGCGCAAATATTTGTTCAACAATTTTTATTCACAATTTTTGCAAAGCTCTTTGTAGCTGAAGCAAATACTTGTGACATTTCAAACTCCCGCAATTTTTTTAATGCGCTAAACCGTCGCTATACATTTACGGGTTTGTACTAAAATGGCTTTTTCCTGCCATTTTGTTCATGATTTTAAAAAATATCGAAAATTCGCTATCGCTTCACCGACTTTTAAAATCAGGTCTCGCGGCACGATGAAAGTAACTTTTATCGTTGAACGTTTCGCTGACCGAGAAGCGCCAGGAAAATGGGCAACACCAGAGGTAGTATCTAGGTCGTCCTAGGTCACGTGGAGGTCGATTATCCGACGGTATCACATATGGAGAAGACAAGAGAAGCGAACGAAGCCGACTCTCATCTACCTTAATCTTTCGTATTTAGTCCGTTTCCTTAAATCTGTGTCACTTTTTGCGAGATTTTAATAGAAGTCCGCAGTTTCGGTGAACTTCAAATCTTCACATTCATTTAGACTGTCACTTTCGCTAATAACATTTTCGTGCACAAAATAAGTCAGGTGATGGTTGAATATTTTTCGCTTAACGTGTAATTATTGTCTCACGCAAGCATGAGAAGTTTGAAATTTTTAAACAAAAAATTATTCCTAAGTATTATTTTCTGAATATTTTTTTACATTACGTTTATACAAAATTTAAGAATATGTGGACAGGTTTAATGAAATCCTCGTGCATTTAAGAAGACTTAGTGTCTCCTTTTTTCCACGTTTTTTTTTTCCAAGATCGGTCTAGAATACTCCTTCACCTGGCCTCGATTCGGCGACGTCGCAATTGGAAAGATTCGCGTAAAAAACGCGTCGATAAATCACGATTAGGTCGGGAAGAAGGAAAAGTGAACCGAGCGTAGAGAAGACAACGGAGAGAAAAAAAAGAAAAAAAGGACGTCATGGGAAATTCATGCGTCATTGTTGTCGGGACGAAATTACATTATCGCGCTGTTCGCGTAGCGAACCCATCGTGTTAGACCGGATGATGGGGATGGTAATTTATCGCGCGACATAAATTATGTATAACGCTGAAACGGCCCTCTTGGCGTGCGACGAGTTTGTAGTTACCTTCATATAACCGGTGCTTCTTGTCTTAAGTAGCTCAAACTTGGTCTTTAGCGAGCATTTGCAATCCTCGTGGATAGGATCGTTTCGCAGGGGAAATTATTATCGGACTACTTCCGAATTTCCGGCATAATACAAAAGACTTTCATCGATCGACTAAATAAATTTAAAAACACCAATATGCTTAACGATTTTATTTTAACGAACTATCGCTGATGCTTAAATTTACGAAAAACATATGTGTGCATTGTTGCACAAACTCACTATTATTTGCGCGAGTAAAAAAAAAATTAATGCGCTCGACAAATTATTTGAAAATATTAGCATTTATCTGGAAAACCATGTAAAAATTGCGAAAAGAAAAGTATTCAAACTGTGCATGAGGTAAGTAAATTTTCAATGCGAGATATCAATTCGACGCCAAGAATAAAAATAAAAATGATCCCAAAAGACTACCTGTCGCATTCTCGATATCGATATCTGCACTTTTTCTTTTGCACACAAATCGCGTCATATGCCGCGCGAACATGCTGGAAAGGAGATTGTGCAGTGCAACCGTTCTCGCGGAATGCACGTCTCATTCTCTTTTAACGACTGCCGTTAGTGAGAGCGATAAGAGCCCTCCCTCCCCCTCGCAACTTCAATTCGCGCGTAACTCATGATCAACGATTAATCTCGCGAAAATGACCAACGTTCTCTGACGCAGGTGCACCCATTGAATTTTCGCGCGATGCTATCTCGCATTGTGCCGCGCGTCTGCATAATTTATATTTAACGATCCTCCCCTCCGACGTAATGGATTCAAATTCAATACATATCAATGGTCGTGCCCGATAAATTCCCGTTCGTGAAACGCCTCTGGAAAATTTTAAAGTTGCCAGGAAAATCTCACTTTCAAAGTTTTCGAATATGATAATCTTCGAAAAGTCAGTCTTTAAAATTAAAATAGAATCTGTCATCTTTTCGATAAATTCGACATTCTCAATATCGATAAGTATCTTAAAGCGAAATACAATAGATCAAAATATAATATTAACAAATGCACGAAATGTCCAATAACAGTGTTAAAGAAATGTAAGTTTTATCGAAATCCGATTGCTTAGGCGATTTTCGGAAACGATAGACGTTATCATACAGACTCATGTAATTTTCTGTAATTAAAACCATGTAATTAGTGGTTCGACGTGGTGGCGATGCGATAACGCACGGCGAATTAATTAACCTAATTCCCGAATTATTTATACGCGAGCGGGGCTGTTGTTATAATTGCGTGCGTCCGGGTCGATTAGTCGAGCGATCCGGACCCCAGCACATTCGCACCGGTTACGTACAATTAAATGCCGGAAGGGGCAACGACGATCCGGATGTGTACCTCACTCCGCGTCGATTATCGAGCGATCCGGATGCGCGACCGCGAAATATCCCGCCCTATATCGGTTGCGTTATCGACCGGCGGCCGGCGATAGAAAAACATTGCACCCCGCGAAGTACGATCAATAATGCCTTTCGGTTTTTCACACCCAAGTGTCCCAAGGACGTCGGGTCCAAACGCGAGGAAACACCCTCTCTTCGGAGCTCTCCGTCGCACGAAGGACCTCTCGACGTCACCCCGCGGTCACGCGGTCTCCACAGAACCGAATAACGCGTACCGATGCACCGCACACTCGTGACACTCGCCGCAACTGTCGCGTCCGAATCGCCCACCCGCGAGCTCCGTCGCATGTCCAACTCTCGAGGCCGACAAGCTGCAAAGTCGCGGCAGAACTGTTTTGTCCACGTGTTGCGGATTGCGGACAGTCAACGGGGGCAGGGTAATGCAGACCTCGATCTTACCACGTGACAGACCGTAGCGAGACCGCGCGGCCTTCGAGGGAATCCCGGGATGACCTCGCGCTGTCTCTGCCCTCTGCCGGAGGGTGCAGCAGGCTACTCCGGGGGTGGTTGAGCAAATAACAATCCTCAATTACTCTAATCAAGATTTCAATCGAAACTATACTATGACAGGGTCAGCTGGATTTTAATAAACGATTTAGAAATACAGAATCATTTAAAACCTCTTCATCAAATCTGTTTCGTTCTAATTACAATTTAATTCAAATCAAATTGTTTTCGCCGAAATTCATGATAATTTTGAATAATAATTTCTTATTCTGATTATATCGATACGCGAAAATGTTCAAGTTGCGTGCAAAAAGCATGCTGCATCTAAGATTTTATGATTCGTTAACGTTTGTCAATACTTGTAGCACTCGGTAATGTGGAAGGTTTGTTCTCCAACTATTACCAACCGCAGGAGAGACTCGCGTTCATCGATCCTGTGTTAAGGGTGAGTATCTTCAGGGATGAAAACGTAGGTGGCGAACATTTCGAGCTCGCGCACGCATGCGCCACTCCGTCAACCCTCGCGAGCAACTTTTCTTATCCATTACTTTACCTCATATTTATGCCGAATTTAAATTTTAAATTGCAAAATAGACAAAAAATAGACAAATTTAAACGTTTACATAAAAATCGAACTCTCCCTTCTCTTCTTACATTTTTAATATTTTATATAAAATAAACGTCTAAATGTATGTCACGTTAAACAGAAGGGAGCATATTTTCTTTTATCATGACACACACTTACCTTGTTGAGCGTCTCATGACCGATGTGCGGGATACCGTCTGGATGAAGGATACGATCGACCGAATTCAGCCTGGGAACGCCATCCAGTTGGGCCGCCTCTTTCAATTGGGGTGGCGACGGCGGCGGTGGTAATGGTTCCTCCACCCCTGTACCGTCAAACCTCGTTTTCTGCAACGGAGAAAGAAAACAATTTCATTATGTTATCCCGCACATCAAAAGGCCATAAAAACAACCGTCGCGCGTCGCCTTCTAGTATATATGTATAAATATCTAAACGGTCAACTTGGAGATTGCTTTTTGGCAATCGTGAAATGTGTTCCAATACTTTCCTATTCAACACTATAAGGGATATGTATTTTTTCTCATTACTTCGAGATGATTTAATGTAATTTTCTCAACGTTGATCGGTTGCAAGATCTTTCCTGCTCCCAATGCGGAATCCCGTCGTTACGATCTAATGCTATTTTACGCTTATTTGCGTTGTTAGAACTTACGTGATTCCAGCAGCATTCGCAAACACCCCTGCCGTTCTCAAAGTTGCGCGAAATCGCATTATTTGCGCCACGATTGCTGGACGAACTCGGCGTTGAATTGGCGTGTCGCTTCGCCCTTCGACGTTTTCGTATTTTGACTGGCACAGCGAACATGTAATCACTGAATCGACGCCTTGAGTGACGTACGATCGACACCCAGTCTATCATCGTGCGAAAACAGTTCGGCCCCGCGCGTGATATTTCGAATATATATATATATATATATATATTTTTTTTTTTCGGTGTACGGTGTCCGTCAAAGTCCACTCGATTTGCTGTTGTGCAAATTTTAAATGAAATAGAAATGCTACATATAACGCCAGAGGAAGAAAAAGAAAAGCAAATTGAGACATGTAAATATCTGCTAAACAGTTACCCCCCCCCCCCCATCTGCGCTTCGTTAATTTTACACAAGTATTACGAAAACTATTACTATCTTTAACGCGAACTTAAATATTTTATTTTGATATATTTTTTAATCTAATTATTTAAATATTTCTACACGCTGTGTTCATATATGTTATATGTAATTATAAATTTGTTACAAACAGAAAATTAGCTTTTTACAACTAAACTTTAATTATTTTTTTCAATTCAATTGTTAGTATATTAAAAACAGTTCAACTGTTTCTCTCTTATTGTTAGTAATAAATTCTTGATTTAATTATTACTTCTATTTTATATTACACTTCAGAATCCTTACAAATTCACGAGACGAACATTTCAATTAGCGTTCAAACTTTTATACGTATTTCGGGCTTCAAGGTAAATTTTTGCGATTCGTTTAACCTGCTGCTTGCCGTTTTTGTTGGTTCGCGCTACTCGAACGAGTACTTTCAATTGGGTATCGCGGCCGTGCCCATCGTCGCTAGAGATCGATACCAATGGTGAAAAGAAAGTCAGGGATATATATGTCACGAATCAAATCCCCCTTTTTTCTCCGTTTCTTGTGTTCTGAAAGCGTGTTATAAGTATCGGACTGTCTCTATATTCCTCCCTTGTTCCACTACATGCGCTTTATTCCTTCGACATAGTCACGTCGATCATTATTGTCGAGTGCACTCTCTGAACGCGAATAAAGATGCTGACAAGGATGTTGCGATTGAGCGCGCATTTGTGTCGAGAATCAACGCGGCGGTAAAAATAATATTCAAAATGCTAATTGGCGAAATGAATTAATCATTGGCACGGCATTTAATATAAATAATTCTCGAATAATTATGCAAAAATTACTTAACTATCGCACAGATAATACTACAATTCTGCGATAATTGTATGAAATAAAGCGTATTTTTTCAAGTGTAAGAAAAGAGAGAATACTAAACGATTTGTTGTTTGAAAAAGGAAATTATTCAAATTTTCAACTTCAAATTTTTATTTTACCTGTTATTTGGAACGTGTTAACTATTATTTTACATTTTAACTTTTGGTCGTAGTAAAATATTTCAAGCTTAATGTAACTATATGTATTTCACACGTGTATATTTTACATTTTACCGAAATCTTTACCCAAAATATTTTCATACTGACGGAAACTCGTGTAAGAATAGATAATGTTCGGGCGCACCACATGTTTGCTATGTTCGCGAGCATAATTTGCGGCACCGGCAAAGGAAAATTTCAGAGTGATTGAAGCGCTTACGGGCTTCCAAGAATACCAAACACCGCCGCATATTGTTTATGGAGGAACCGCGCGTGCGAGAGAGAAATAGTTTAGACTCGGTACTTCAGCAAGCAATCTCCATCAGCATTCTATTCCATGAAAACGCACCCCTTCGTAAATCCCTTGATTTCATATACAATATCACTATGCTTCAATTCATCGTGTATCACGTTACCACTTTTCAGTACCGTCGTTCTTTTGCGAGAAGAAATTTTTTATATTCTTTTTTGTATGCGACGCACGATCTCGTGTTTTCATAGCATTAGAAAAAAACGGAGAGTTTTTACAATGACAGATATCGTTGGATTCTCTCGTTCAACCGGGAATCATAGACTATTATTTTTGTTTCTCTTTTATGACAGTCTTCTAGAAAGATTGCTCTTCTTCCGCTTCATTCCACATTTTTTATCGAACATTTATCGAATCACGAGGTAACTCTTCCAAGAAAAACACGATCGCGTTTGAAAGCAAGGTCAATTATTTTTGATCGTGTTGATTAATAGATTCTTCTTTTTTCTTTATTCTGAATACGAACTGGATTATTTTGACGAAATCAATGGTTTGTTTCCAAAAATTATCTATATGTTATATTTCATAAAATTAATATAAATATAGACGGAAAAACTTTCAAGTTAACGTTATTTTAATGTCGTAAGTCTTAAAAATGCCTTTAGTTTTATAAGTATAAAAACAGTTTTTAGTTAAAAATGATACTCTTAATCAAATTAAACGTGTTCGTTTGCTTTATATCACGCTATTTTTGACATTCTCACATAAAGTCCATGTTCAACATTCTCACAATAAAATCCGTGTTCCAAACATCTCGCGAACACTTTTTCGGGAAATTACAATACAATATCGATGAGTAATTGTAATTAGCGGCGTTCATTAGGATAAATGATTGCACTTTGATCACACGATCACACGAGTCTTGGCTGTTTTTTGGAGCAGCCGACTTTATACCTCGACGTGGAAGACGTCGGCGTTGGTACTGATGCAAAAGTGACCCGACGCTGGTATCAATAGCATGCCGATGCTCCCGAAGAAGGCGTTGCCGTCTAATTCTGACGCTGAAGCATCTTCGTGATTGGACGGCGGTCTAAAGGACTCTCCAAGAAGTTTCTCTTTTATCAAATCCAAAATTTTAAGAACCCGGGTGATTAATTATACCATCATGTGGTATTTAGGAAGTTCAATGAGTCGCGCCATTTATTTCGTGGCTCTCGACTGGGACTGCTATTAAATCCGCGTTTAAGTGTCGAGTGGCCGCGACGGCGACGGTCACGTTACGCGCAATGTAATTCTCAGACGATAGTGACGCAATAATGGTTTGAGACCGATGCCCGAAGAAATTGTGTTCGCCCGCGAATTTACGTCCAGTCCGATTAAATTCTCGTTTAATTAAACTTCACGCGCACTACGAGGACGGCAAGATTTCCGACCAATTCCTCGGAATTGCATTCTAAATGGACAATCGTTTACAGCTCAGGTTTCATCGTATATTTTTTCTGCAGCGAATTTCATCTCGAAACACATAATTCGTATATCTCGCTCACTGATTAATTTAATTCAATGTATACCGCTGTGTACAATATCGCTCTGTTTTCTAACCGAGTTAATTAAAAAATAACAAAACACGATGACGCGAACGTTCCAGCAGCTGGTTAAATGGCGATCAATAATAAAGTTCCGTTAATGGATATTTTTTTCTTATGCCGCTGCAATGGCAGGCGCTATCGACGTTTCGATCATTAATGGATTAAACAAACCTCAACACAGCATCCAAGCTGGAAGTTAATCAGGTTACCTAAATCAAACGGAATGCGTCATAATGTAACCGCCCCCAGATCCAGTCCTGTTTCAAGCATTTCGTCGTATTCCATCTGTAAATACGCGGACCGCAAAACGGCATCAATAATGACGACACGGTGATTTTCAGTTTGGTTTACAAGCTGGGTTGTCGCGGCTATCGGTGCCGTCGTTGGTTGCAGCAAATAACGGCAACGGCCAACTTGGTTCGCCAATTAATGCTCAGTCTCGGGACAGAAAATTATGGAACCGTGAGGCCGCGGGCTGGTAAACAGCAAATTGCGTTTGTTCGATTTATCATTTAGCTTCACGCATCGGAATTCATTTCAGAGTTACTCGCGAGTGCAACAATACGCAAAATATCCTCGCGCGAGGTTAATTAACCGTCACGCACAGCCATCTATCGCGCCTGTCTTTTCACGAAATGGCCTCGCGGACTCGTTTTATTCTGCGAATCGGATGTCCATTACGAGCACAATGCCGGGGCACAATGCAGCGACTCGCAGCTTCAGAAAACCTTGGACTTGATAGAAAGAACATGAGGAGATAATCGAGAACCGCGCGATCGTGTTCTGAAACGAAGCGAGGAATTGCGCGGCAAGGTCTTGCGCCATAACGAAAGGCGAAAGGATGAGGAGCAGGACGGCGGAAAATTGCAGTCTGCAGCTGACGTTAAAGCGAATTAATTTATATGTTTATAGTTAACCAAGGTAAACTCCTTATCATCTTCGTTAAGAAACTCAAGCAAATGAATGCTCTTTTCATGTTAAACTTTAAGTGCGTGCTAAGCTCTTTGAAAGCAGCGAAAAAGCGGTACTTAATTTATGGCTTATATTAATATAATTAGTAGCAAATGGAACAAAAGGTCGGTTGGATTATACAAAAACACCTTGAGCGTTAATTGCGTCGTTGGTCTTAATTAGTCGACATATTTCAACCATACCTAGTCGTCTTAGTTTGAAGTTAATACGTGTAATTTATAACGAATTCGATTGAACGGAGTGCACATTAAAGCCGTCGTACATAAATCAATGTAAAAATGCATGTTTAATACAAATATATAAACGGGTTAAGCCGCAAAATCCCCATACTTTATTGTGCCATCTGGAAAAATTTATATTTTATCATTCTATATAGATATTTGCATTTCACTTTACACACAGATTAGTGTACAACGGCTTTAATATGCACCAGTGCGCACTGATATGCACTAATGCGTCCAACCGAATTTGCTATTAATTTGAACGAGCCTAGTTATTGTACACAATCGTGGAAGTTTACTGTAATTAAATTTTTCACGAAATAAGAGGTCACATATCTACGATACTACGATTCTCGTCGATAAAAATATATCGATATTTCGACATAGAAGGATTTCCGATGTAAAGAAGCCGATGAAATAAATTCGTGCTAGTTGTGAAAATTGTTGATGGCACCGGTGAAAACGCAATCCGTCGAGTATTCATCGAGATTTATGTGCGCCACGCACTGTGCATATTCATTCCGATTTCCGCGTGAAATGCCGAGACACGATAGATATGCATTAAATCGACGCTTTTATTTCCATGCTGAAAATATCGTTCGTTCGTCCGGGTGCTACTCGAACGGACAAGTATTATTACGGGACTACGATATACGTATCGAAATAGATTTAAGTGATGATAAAAATGCGATAGGCACCGATTTTTCAATGGTGCGTCGCGTATCGTGCGGCCACGTACATGCAAATACACGCTAAGTTACGCGCGTGGTAAAATAAAATTTTTCGAAATAGTCATTCCATATTACACTAGCACCGCGAACATATATCATATTTCAACATTTTCGTGTTTTTAATAAAACACTACACGCTGCTATTTTATTTCCACGTTCCGCTTACAACAAATAGAACATTGTATCATTGTATCGTCCCTGATGTAAAGAGATGCATAAAAGATGCTCCCCACGTGTCTTCAACGATTAAGGCTGATAATAGATGTTTCAGAGTCTAAGCATATTTGTCTGAGATTTATCTAAGATTAATTAGAGATCGTATAATGGAATTTCCTCCCAACTAACCAGAAACGTAAGAACTAATTTTGATAAACTTAAAATTAGTCATATCTCAAATACAAATAATTAGCTGTAGCGAAAAAATGAGAGAACGACATCAGATTACTCCTAAATGAAGAGTTTATCGATTTAAAAATACGTTGATGTAAATGTTGTCTATTTCTTATTTTTTCAAATTTAATTTGATAGTTACCCATATTCCATAAGAAAATGAGAATTTTTGTGCAAGAAAGAATCAAAGATTTATTTCTCGGGCGTGAAGATCTACTTCGCGTTATCGACGAGGCTTTGGAGGTGGTTTTGAGCTATACGAATAGATTCTGGGCTGTGCTGCCACGAATATTTCGAACGAACAAGTTGGTAAGCCAGGGATCTTCCCAGGCACATTCAGCTGCAGAAAACGGGCTTACCGTTGCAAGCCTACGAACAATCATTACCGAGCTCTGCGTCAAATATGGACAATGTTTAATTGAGCCATTTATTACTTCACATGCACTGATCAATACATCCACACAAATTCTACAGAATACAAGAAAACATTGTAGCTAATTTGCAATTATCAATTATTGATTAAATTGAACAGCATTAGAACGATGCTTCAGGACAGAAAGAAAAATGTTCAATGCTTCATTGGGAAGAAAGATTAACATTGAACGTATTCGTAAATCATGTTATATAACACTCACTATACGAGATTTCTTCACGAGTCTAGTAGAACAGGTTTTAGTTTGCGATGACAGTACATGTCGCAGAAAGCACACGTGTTTTATATAAAGATCTGCAATTTACTTTCGCAAAATTTGCACGTTTACAAACCTGAGTCTCGTCTAGATTGGAGCCTGGAACGTCGGGACTGGCCGATCTGCGGCCATAAATGTTCGACAGAGTCTGAGTCAACGGCAAGGCGGAGGCTGGACCATCCTGAAACGATCACATCATCTGAATAACATACCATTGTGTTTGAAGGAAACGCGTATTGCCGAATGGCAATCCCTTTCATCTCTTCACATCAGTCGAATTTCAATAGAGTTTCAAAATGCATTACTTATTATCTACGAATTATTACTGGAAATTCGAAATCGTACGAAGACGTTGTTTAACAGTCGTTAATATCTCGCACGTCAAAAATATCGAATTTTAAATATTAAGTTTCAGTCCGATATGCTAATAACGTTGTAATAATATCGATAATTCTCTTAGAAATGCTGATTTATTAGACAAAGTGCCATAGTAGGAAATTATTGTAGGTTTCGCTCCTCGAGCAGTCGCGTGCGATAGTTCGAGATCGTCCTCGTAGCAAATCGTCGCGTGTGCCTTCCATTTTCTGGCGTACCTAACGGATTTATATTTTATATTTTGTCAACGATTATAAACTCGCTATCGAATCATTCCAGATATCCGTTGTTGCAGCAGCTCAAACAGTAAACACTTAATATCTAAGCTATCAGGTTTCCCAACGCCGACCCGGAGAGCTCGGCGCGGATCGATCGCAACAAAACGTTTCTACCAGTGAGCAAAGAGCAGATGGATACAGGAAATAAAGCCACGAGATGCAAGGTCAATTACATACGAGGCTGGGTCGGCTTGACTGTTCGTCGCACATACGACAGCAGAGCACTAAGAGAGCCGAATTATTCATAGCGAACTTTCAGCATTTAGTTTAGTTTAGCATCCAGCATCGCTTTTATCTCCACCGAGGAGCGCCTTTGTCAAAGGTGCATCGTCGGCTATTGTCCTCGAAATTCGTTCGCTGCGTCAAAACGTCTCCCGATGACCTGGTTACCGCCTACGGTCGCTTTTCTTATTTATAACCGTTGGCGAGATAACGAACGCCGCAATCTACTTTAAAGCGTGGGGTACTTACAATTATTACGACGAAAAAAGAACGGCGCAACAGAAATGCTCGATATTTAAATGTACATCCATTGAGAATTTTTAATTGCACTCTTCAGGGTATAGTCGAGTAATAATTGAACGGATTGCTGATTTATTAATTACATCTAGAGTGTATTTATAGGAAAGAAAGCAGTTACGGAACGAAGTTACTCGAACATGTTACTCGAACTCTGAGCAACAATTCTCGACGTTATGGACACGTAGGAAAGAGATTGGAAGTCCAGTTTTGCGCCCGGTGTAGTCGATCGGATATGCATTCCTCGCACTCGCGGCAGTCGTGAGCGGTACCTAGAACGTTACCTCGACAATGTGAGTGTCACCGAATGACACTTCCAGCATTAATAAACGTTCTGTGTCTTGTTCGGTCCTAGTATTGCGCGCGTGGTATAAATAAAACTGGATAACGTATATATGTATGTGTGCTGGGTATATGTGCTTGCGCGGAGATATGGTTTGGCTCATATTTCCGCAGCTCAAGATGTATCGGATAAAATTGAGAAGTAAAGTAGCTTGCACTAATATTTTATGTTCTCTCAGATGCATTCTCATACGTCACGACAGTATACGTACCGCGATGCAGGTAGTTTTATTTTTACCGAGCGAGAGTACACTACTCTCGCTATCGCGTGTGCCCGTACGATTCCGGGAATTTAAGTACTCTTCTCTCGAGTGCCTTAAATGCTGTATGCATGATCATACAGTACAACTCTTAATATTTAAAAAATACCATAATTCCCTATGATGATTTTTTAGCAGTAAAACACATCTTTTTAATTGAGAAGTAAAGTAGCTTGCACTAATATTTTATGTTCTCTCAGATGCATTCTCATACGTCACGACAATATATACGTACCGCGATGCAGGTAGTTTATTATTTTTACCGAGCGAGAGTACACTACCTCTCGCGTGCGCCCGTGCGATTCCGGGAATTTAAGTACTCTTCTCTCGAGTACCTTAAATGCTGCATGCATGATCATACAGTACAACTTTTAATATTTAAAAAATACCATAATTCCCTATGATGATTTTTTAGCAATAAAACACATCTTTTTAATTTTTTTTTCCTAATATCTATCTCGTACTCTTCCTAATATATCTTTCTAATTTTGTTCCTAACACCTATCTCGTTTCTCTTGCGTTTACAACGCAAGTGAAATTCTAGAGCGTTCATGATGAGTGAAATTCGAGAAGCTTATCGAAGCTCTTTATTCTGTACAAAATAGGTACCTACACAGAGTGTACACACCACGGTTTTTTAACGTTGCATCCAAATTGCGTAGAAAATTGGTTTTCCGGGACGGGAATATAATATTCTTCCCTGCGCGCGCGTTATAATAAAATTTTTTCTCTATTTGGATTTGCGTGTTTATCGTCGGATCCCTCTTTTATAACTGGATTAATTTGTTGTTGCTAAGTAACGGGAGATATATTGCCGGGTTTCGCGCCCGAACTTTCGAAAAACACGAGTGCTTCCTCGCGTTTCGCCGTGTCAGAAATTTGAGCCTGCGCCGCGGAAGGAGCTCGTCGAGATTAATCCATGGGCGGCTGAATGTTCGTAGTTGTTTATAACTCCGCGAAGTGGGCTGTAATGCACGTAAAGGATAATGGTGTGCGTCGAACATGAGCGCAGCGGAGTGCGTTCTCGATTACCTGCCGGCGCTTCCCGCCCGCCCCCGCGATTTTATGACGTCGCAATATGCATCGCTCCGATAATAGAGAGTAATCCTCCGGCGATGCGCATTCTACGGCTGAACGCGACTGAACGGCCGACTGAATGGTATCGGCGCTTCGGCCGATTTGATGAAAATCTATACTGATACCGTCGATCATTACCGCTGGTCGCGTTCTGGAAACTGCCAGCGTTGCCGCCAAAAGCCAGCCGTATTCTGGCTGAATAGGACACGGTACGCGATAGCCAGCGGACGGACATTTCGGAAGGCCGGCGTTTACCTCGGCGTGGTAAATTCCGATCGGAGTATCCCCGCGCAATCCCGTTCGTTGTATTTAACGCCTCGTTTCTGAACACATTTGAAAAAAATCGGTCAAAAATTGTACGATTTTTCCGAACAGAATAACAGTCGTTGATAGCTGCGGAGACACGCGCGCGAGTTTCTTAAAATTTACTTACGTTTCTCGTGCGTATTTACTCTCTCGCGTTTATTCACGTACATACCGTATATTCGATATTGTTTCGTAAGGTGGCGTTTGATTTGTACCGATAGACCGCTGCGGTGTAAACGTATGTCGACTGACCATAACGCGGACATAACTACTGGCGGCCGCGACATGTCGAGTTACGACCAGGCGACAACTGCGTGACAGTGGCTGATACGAACGGACGAGGTGCATTTACGACACTCTCTCCGCATGATATGCGATTAAAACGCTGCGCACGGAGTATCGTGATGAACGTTTTATTGGAAAAGATGCGCGGGAAGGACGTGGTCGTAAGATAATAGCGCGACACGAATTTAGAATGGCTTGGTAAATATAATGTTAATATGTTTCAGGTCGTTCGGGGACACTCGGTAGATATCAATTAAAATTCACGGCATTAGATTCACTAGCGTAACGGCATTTACGAGTGGTCGTAAATTAATTGTTCGCATAAATAGCGAAATTGATCGTTACGATCGCGAGGATTTCGCATCATGGCGCGCGCTGCATTATTGTTCAACGGCTTGTTTGTCCGCTTATTAATTAGCATTGTTTTCGCGTTATTAATACAGACTGTCGGTCGCGATCAATAAACTTACATTATAAAAACAATTCCGAATTTCCTCCCTTAATGAGATTGTTTATCGTTTAAAACATCAATACAAGGAATTGTATATTTTTTATTACTTTTATTATGTAATCGTATGTTAAATTAATTATACTTTTCATATATTGTGTGAAAAAACTTGATTAATTTAATTTAATTAAAATAGAATTAAAACTCTTTTTAAAGTAAATATCTAAAAAAATATTTAAATTCTTAACTTCTTCCAGTGCGTGTTAACACTGTACACTAAATTAAAAAAAAATTGCATGTTAGAAAAAAAATACACTCGCTAAGAGTTTTATGGCACAGCTCGACAGCAATAATCGGAATTTAAACATTAAATATAAAGCCACGTAGAGTAGATATAAAAGATCATGTTCCTCAAAACTGATGTTAACAAATAAAAACTTTCTTTAAAACAATTAAGATTGTGAAATATGGTACAATAACGCTCGCGAATTCGCGAAATAATCGACCGAATGGTAGTTCGACCGTGTGCAGAATTGCGTGTTACAACATGACTATAACTATTGGCACCTAACCGTCGAATCTAATCGCCTCGGCTCGACACCACAAAGCGACGGTGTCTATCCGCCTTGCCAATACCAACCAGACTGAAGACCTATCGTCGTGGAACCGGAGTGCACTTGTCGACGAAAACGCGACACCGGCGCGTTTCCAATAATCCGCCGCCGTTGATCTTACATACATTGTCAAAGTACGTGGTGAACATCCTCGAAACTCTGCACGACACCGCGACGCTATAATAAATCTTTCGTACAGTTCTATAATCGCACGAGGAGACCGCGATAAGAGATTTCGCATTAGATTAGGCGCGTGCGCCATTTATAGGCGCATATAGGCGGAAGGCAGTAACGATCGTTCGGGAAGGAGTTCGGAAACCCGTAACAACAAAGCCTCGAGCTATTCTGCAAGAGGAAAACCTGTTGGTACGGTGATAAATCGACAGTCTATATGGGAATCTTCCTTTCGATTGTACTCGATATATTCCTCGATCATATTGTATCGATGCACATTGTGGTCCGATGCAAAAGATGAAGCCGTGTCGAATCGAAAGTTTCTACTTTACTCCGTATTTCCTACTCACAACAGAGTGTCACACTCTCTACCTTTCTCTTTCTTTCTCGCAGGGGGGAGGGAGGAAAACAGATACTTCCGATACTGCGCATTGCGGATCCGAAGCACGTATCCCATTCCCGCGAGGCAATAAGCATATACATATGTGTATATATATTGTGTT